GTGTGTGTGTGTTTGAAAATGTAACCGGGTTATATTTTTTTAATGAATGCGTATAACTGTGCGTGTGGGTGTGTGTTTGCATGTCTTATTTCACACACACACACACACACACACACACATACACATGCAATGTATCCAGATTAGTTTCGCCTTATGCACACACGACATACTGCATAAAATAAATCACAAAGCCTTATTCTGAAAGTCTTATATGAAACCTTGGTCTGAACGACTTATATGAAGCCTTATTGTGAAGTCTTAAAAGATATCATGTTATAGTAACCAAGACCTCTGCTCTGTAACTTGGACAGCACAAAGACTGAAAATTTAAAACCCCACTGAACTCTACTTTATACCTTCCAGCTGAAACACATATAAGACATACCAAGAAATTATTGCAATAACTTCAGCAACTCCAGGGGAAAAAATCAGTAAACAACAACTAATTCTAATTTATTTCTTAATGTGGGTGTCAATTTTTGTTTTGGACTTAGGATCTGATGTGTGTGTTTTTTTTGGTGCATCAGTGTATAATATTATAGTATTATCTATTCGTTTTCAGTCGCAAAAAATAATTATATATTTGTAGTTTCTCCGAATGATGTTGTGGTGTTAATGTTTTTCCCGGTAGTACAGTCTGCAGCCCACGTCTAAATAAGATATACCTTGTTCGTGTTCCTTTGAAGCTACCCAAGTGTAAGTGACTGTAGCTCTGAAGTGTCTATATGTATCGTTGGTTATAGTGTCGTCTAGAATACATTTTGATACATTTTTAATACAGTTTATCTTATGGGGATTATCTGGGATCATTTTATTGTGTAGATCGGTTAAGGACGATTTTTTGACTGTGAAGACAATAAATACCTTGTCGATCACTTTTTACTCATGGAAGTGTCTGTTGGTCTCCTCCCTGTGACCACTCAAGGCGTCTCGTGACATCAGAATACATGTTTGTCCTTGATGTAGGAGTTGATGTGCTCTAGGAAGAATTCAGTAATTATTGGCTTGTTGGAGCTTGACGTTCAATTGTACGCCTGTGAGAGTAATCCAACGACGCAGACTAGTTCAGCAATGTGGTAACGAGGCACTAAATTGGAAATGGTGAGGTTCACATTCCACCACCACAACACTGGTTGGGGGGGGGGGAGAATTTGTCGCAATGGGAGTCAACAGTCAGGAATTTACAGCAATCTGGAGATATTTTCTGAATCTCATATATAAGTGAATTGCTTTTACCCGGACACACACACCCGCAGTAAAAACAAGTGATACTGTATAGTTTGTCAGTAGTGTTGGTCTTGTGTGTGTATATTTGAAGGAAAGTTGCAGTGATTTAAAATTTTATAATATAGGTTTGTATACTTAAGCGAAGTCGTTTTTTTTTTGTTTCTTTACGTGTACTGTATACATCTTTCTGTGTACTCGTATAGGTTAGGTGTGTGAGTATTAATGCATGTTTCTGTATGTATGGATCATCATCATCATCACCATCACTATCACTGTTTTATGGCCATTTTCCACGTCTGTATATTATAGGTTAGGAGTTAGGTTGCCATCAAACAAAATTGAAGAAATTTTTTACACCTGGATATCCTTCTTATCATCAACCCACTTTATGTATCGGTCTTCCAAGCGCCCTCTGAGCTGACAAAAGCAAGGCAAGGGTCACTACTCCCTGTGGTAACAAAATATCAAGTGTTTATATACATGGATCACTAGTAGGCACTGTGAGCTGGTGAGGGAAGACATACATACATATAAGGTGTCCCAGAAAAATGCCCCTTCCTCCCTCCCTCCATTCCTGCCTGCCTGCTCCCTGAGACACTGTGGGTTGGAGGGAGGGAGACAGAGAGCAGGCAGTGAGGCAGGGACATTTTCCTGGGACACCCTATACACTGTGTAGATTGAGAAGGATCCTAAACTTAACACCTGTTTAAATCACCTTGTGTAGTTCTCTGGTGACCCTGACTTGGGATTTGTGTTTTATTAGAATTAAATGATAACACGAAAGGTGGTATAAACATTAAGGGTAAAATTTAACATCCTTCCCTAAATGGTTTCAAGTATAGTCCCCTTCACTAGTACGTTTACAGGGGCTCGTCATATAAACATTCCACAAATCATTATCATTGAGATCTTTGTTTTAATATTGTCTTGATTTGATTCCATTGTATGTTTATTATTGAGAGCTTCCTTTTGTCGATTGTAAACAAACGCAACTCTGTCACACTGCACAAAACCTGACGAGCCCCTGTAAACGCACTAGTGAAAGGGGACTGTACCTGGAGACGTTTTCTTAATGGTAGTAAACTTGATAAATGTTCTGATAGCTAGAGTTAATAGAGGGTAATATATAATAATTCCAAGAAGCATTACGAAAAAGCATACAGTTTTTTTATACGCCATTACAATAGTGTATAGAACTTCCGTCAACAATAACTTAATGTTCTGTCAATAACTATGGTCCTTTAAGTACTCACCTAAGTCAGTTCATGTATTAAAATTTGAGAAATGACTTACAGATTTAACACCGGTTTATAATTTGTATTAAACCAACACGTATTTTATAAACCAAGACCCTGATAAAAAAAATAAAACTGTATCTTTTTTTTCCTTTATTTTGTCCTGATAAGCTTTATTTATTTATTTTTATTCGGATAAAACCTTCCTTCGCTGGACTGCCCCTCATAAATTATAACCGTATAATTTATGGCTTTTTCTGGGATAAAGGCAGCAAGAATGTCTCATCATTAACAGCACACTGACCACTACTAAGTCATTCTTCTTGTTCCATAACTCATATACTACTGCTGCTACACCACACCAACATCAAGGGGCTGACGGAAGCGAGAGACCTTAGATGAATCGGTGAAGTGTGAGGAAGTGGGCGTGATGTGGTGGTATAATATGTGAGGAGGAGGAGGAGGAGTATGGAACTTGTGAGGAGGAGTATTAGACATGTGAAGAGGAGGAGGAGGAGGAGTATGGAACTTGTGAGGAGTATTAGACATGTGAAGAGGAGGAGGAGGTCTAATCGTTCAGAAAAGGGGGAGGGGAAAAAAAGTTGCTATTTCTGCCCTATATTATCTATTGTTATCTATTTCATCGTAACAAAAGGAGGGATCTAAACCTGAAACGATGAGAAAATTGTCTGGCTAAAATCAAGAAAACAAATCCTTACACCAACCTGACCTAACCTAACCCTTACACTGACCTGACCTGACCTGACCTAACCTAACCCTTACACCAACCTGACCTAACCTAACCCTTACACTGACCTGACCTAACCTAACCCTTACACCAACCTAACCTAACTTAACCTAACCCTTACACCAACCTAACCTAACCTCTCCATGTACAATACTTTCTATAACATCTTCAAAAGGAGGGGTTGAAACGTATGTATTTTTTTTTTTAATCTGGGAACGTATGTACTGTTCTCATAAACCATCACTCGCCCAGTTATTTGATCTATTAACCATTACTATATATAACTCGTGTTCTAAATAGTATCAGAAGTTGGTATATATATAATCTTCTTCCTCCCCCGCCAGAGTGAAGACGTTTCCTAGTGTGATAAAAGGAAAGAGGGTGTTGGGGTGTTATGCCAGGTCCAGTTACATTGACAGCAACATAAGTAAATTTGCTGATGACACTAAAATAGGACGTGTAATTAAATCTGACGAGGACTCCGCAAAACTACAGGAAGATCTAAAAAAAATTTTCGAATGGTCTGAAAAATGGCAGATGAAATTCAACGTGGACAAATGTAAAGTGCTCAGTATAGGATATGTAAACAGGGAAACCAGTTACCAGATGAACAACGATGCCATTGTGAAATCCGACTGCGAGAGAGATTTAGGAGTAATGATAAGTAGGAATCTTAAGCCAAGTAAACAATGTGTTTTTCCTCGTAACAAGGCTAATAAAGTACTTGGGTTCATACAAAGGAGTGTTAGTTATAAGACTAGCGAGGTCATCTTAAGATTATATCTTGCGCTTGTGAGACCTCACCTGGATTACGCAGTTCAGTTCTGGTCACCGTATTACAGAATGGATATAGAATCCTTGGAAAGAATCAAGAGGAGAATGACAAGACTAATCCCGGGCATTAGGAACCTTGAGTACAGAGACAGGTTAAAGCGAGGGGCGACATGATAGAGGTGTGTAAATGGAAGTCAGGGCTAAACAAAGGGGACATTACAAAGGTACTCAAACAATGGTTTTAAATTAGACAAATTTAGATTTAGGCGCGAATGGACTGGAACAAGTTACCAAATATCATCATTAACTCGAATACGCTTGATAGCTTCAAACATAGGTTGGATGCTTATATGAGCAATAGGGGTTGGGTGTAAATGGGACTGCCCAGTATGGGCCAATAGACCCGCTGCAGTTTCTTCCATTCTTATGTTCTTACATGTATACGACATTCTCACGCAAATACCGGCTTCCAGTGAGACATTTACACCACAGCTATGAATATAGATTTACTACTACCGAGGAGCTGTAATTTTGTCACGACTAGAATATTTACGCTAAAGAAGAATTCGTGAGAGAAATTATCTAATGGAATCTGTGAATAATTAAGCCGAAAACTTTTTAAGTATTACCGTATATAAACAATTTCAGGCAACATTGAGGTGAGTAATTTCTTGCAAAGATTAGATATAGAAGTTCATTACTTTAATTTCTTGCTCAACTTTCAACGAGGAAGGCTCTCTGTTTTACGATATAGAGGAAAATCATATATTGGACGAGCTATACAATGTTAAAAAGTTTTATGCGTCGGTAATTATTCTGTAAAAGTAATTCTAGCTACACCATTCGTTTAATATTTACCTGCTGATGAACTCTCGTGTAATGACTGACCTCCTTACATTCTTAAAGATCTTAATAGAAGGAAGTACAGTAATAACACTATAAGACTTGGGAGATAATTACACGGGGTTAAGGTGAGTGAGAGGAAGGCAAGGTCTCAGGTGTACGGAATATCTTACCTGGTATTGGGTGGAGACAGGCGGGCGGCTGTGTCCCCTCTCTGGCTCTGAGGACGGCAGGTAGTGGAGTGGGGCGGGCAACTTGTGGTGTAGTGTAGTCACGTCACTCCCTTCACCCCCCCATACTCAACCCACCCTACTCCACCTCTCTCTGTCCCTTATTCACCCTTGCCTCTCCCTCCCTTCTACACTCACTCCTCCCCCTGTCCCTCCCTTTCTCCCCCTCTCTCACCCTTGCCGCTCACATCCCTCCTTCCCTCCAAGGTTTCTTCTACACTTACTTATTCTCACAGCATCATTGTTTGTTACACTGAATTAAGGTAAATAACACAGGTAAATATAATTAAATTTAATCTTTATGGCATAAAATACAAAAATGGAATGTGTACAGTTACTCAAACAAAAACTATCTATACAAAATTTCGTTGAGACAATATGACACAACGGACGAAGGATTTTGACAACCCTACCGAGACAACAGGAACCGCAGTATTCATTCTGAAATTTATCGATCACCCTAGTAGAGATTTTTTTCGTGACTGTACATATAGCAGTTCAGTACAATTTCTACTCCATTATGTACTACAGTACTGTACGTAGGTGAGATCTCGTTACACTGTTGGGAGGCTTAATTCATTATATACATTAAGGAAGGTGAAAATTCTGTGTTTACTGTGAAAATAAATGAAAAAAAAGAAAATTAATGAAACAGAAAGTATTTATCAGGCACCCCAAATTACTTCACCTTATGATTAAACATGTTAATGCTAACCTAAGTCCACTTCCCCACCCCCAGGTAACGTTAGGGTGGTTAATCTCCAGGTGACATAAGCTAACTAGGGTGTCTAATCTTCAGGTGACCCTCAGAGGTGTTCACTAAAGCTAGGATTATCGAACCCTGTCCTCGGTTGCTTGCTATGAAGGGCGTCCGCTATCTGTTTATCGTCATAAAAGAGAGAGATTATCGGCTCATTGTAACACTGAGAAAGAGCCATTTGTTTCTCATACTGGGGAGAAGAAGCCATTTGTTTCTCGTCATACTGGGGAGAAGAATCCATTTGTTTCTCATACTGGGGAGAATCCATTTTCTCATACTGGGGAGAAGCCATTTGTTTCTCATACTGGGGAGAAGCCATTTGTTTCTCATACTGGGGAGAATCCATTTGTTTCTCATACTGGGGAGAAGCCATTTGTTTCTCATACTGGGGAGAAGAATCCATTTGTTTCTCATACTGGGGAGAAGAATCCATTTTCTCATACTGGGGAGAAGCCATTTGTTTCTCATACTGGGGAGAAGCCATTTGTTTCTCATACTGGGGAGAAGCCATTTGTTTCTCATACTGGGGAGAAGCCATTTGTTTCTCATCATACTGGGGAGAAGAAGCCATTTGTTTTCTCATACTGGGGAGAAGAAGCCATTTGTTTCTCATACTGGGGAGAAGAAGCCATTTGTTTCTCATACTGGGGAGAAGAAGCCATTTGTTTCTCATACTGGGGAGAAGAAGCCATTTGTTTCTCATACTGGGGAGAAGAAGCCATTTGTTTCTCATCATACTGGAGAAAAGAAGCCATTTGATTTTCCCTGTGGACTTCAGCCTGTAGGACAATGGTATCGTAGGATAGAGGTCTGCCACACTTAGCAGCAGCAGGAGCCGAGGTACCTGAAGGGGGAGGTTCTCGTGAGTCCTGCTCTCCAGACCTCGGGAATTCATCAAGGGCCAGCGAGGTCGAGGGTGTAGTGTGGTAGACGCTGTTGGAAGGTCGAGTGGTCTCCATTGACTGTTGAAGGAGAGGGATAGTTGTTATTGTTGTTTTTTGTTTTTATGATGATATTGTTTTTGTTGGGTTTTTTTTTTTTTACCAGGGGAATATTTTGATCTCTTTAGGTATATCTATTGTCCTACGGTGGATAATAATGGTATGTGTATCTCTTCATCTACACATACATACATTCATACATACATACATACATACATACATAGGTTAAAGAAGTGAATGTACATTTTTTGTAAAACTTTTAATTTCATCAGATATTGTGTGGTATATGAGTCACTGTCTATATCTATCTATCTATCTCTACTTACATTTTCCAGTATATCCAGGACCTCTTGTAAGCTTTCACGCTCTCGTCTCTCTGCATTGGAAATAAAAATACAATACAATACAATAAAATACGTAACAGCAGATGAATTACTTATATATTGAAGCCACATACGAGTTCCCTAACTTCATCAATCCGGGAGTTTGGAAGTTTTTAAAATCGATTACCTGAAGATTAGGCACCCTAGTATCTTTAACCTTGTGATTAACACGCTCCTAATGGTATCTGGGGGGGGGGTTAAATGAGGTTTGGTTGGGTTTAGGTTGAGTTTTGGTTAGGTTATGTTAAGTTAGGTAATTCCAGTTAGATGAAAGCCGAGGACGCTAGTATAGTATTAGCCAGGATAGGTACTTATGTATTAGGATAGTTAATTTTAAGGTAATAAAATGGCGGCGAAGGTATGGCTATTGGGGGAGACTGGAGGCCACTTTAATAAAAATAATAATAATAAAAATAAAAGTAGAATTAGTAGTAGTAAAGCAATCGTAAACTCATCCTCAACTTCCTACACGTGAGTAAAAACACAACAATAGGAGTCATTACGCTATACAGTCGTGTCATCATTCAGCTTATTTTCCAAGAAGCTTTTATCATCAACCAGGTGTTCGGGGCTATAACCCAACATGTCTCCCAAACACGTAGCAACATCAAAAACATCAATATCACGGTACTAGGCACAGGTCACCGGAACGCCAGGTTATTGAAACACCTTTAGTACAGAAGACCATGATAAAGAGACCATTTTATAGAGCGGGCCATTAGTGTGTACAGGTCACTTGTGGTACTGGTAAGAGGACCATTATAAGAGGGTCGTTTTATATTCAGTGGACCATTAGTTCATATACTGTAGTTCATTTGTGATGTAGACCATTTGCATATAGGAGAGACCGATGTTATAAGAAAAGACCACAAAGCTAAATAATAGAGAGGACTAAAAGCAATCCAGACCATTACTGGATCACCTGAAGATTGGCCACCCATTATAGTGGTAGACAGACTATAATTAAAATATAAGCTCCATAACACACTTGACTCAACAGTAATTAAGGACAGGTGTGGGTGGGTCTTACCTTCCATGGAGTTACTCTGGTGGAAATGATTGTTGGTCAGCCTCTTGGTCAGTGGTCTGAGGGAGAGAGAACACACGTGCTTAGACCTGCTCTGTGTGTGTGTGTGTGTGTGTGTGTGTGTGTGTGTGTGTGTGTGTTTCAATAATAATTAACCAAGCAAGAATTTATTCACGTAATGACATAATCACAAGGAGTATGAATAATTCATCACTATAATTCGTTCGTTGCAACCTGGTGTGCGGCTGTCGAGTGCAGTACCGGGCATGCTGCCTCCGTATGTACCGCAGGCTATAGTGTGACCCACTTTCACTGCCATAATTCGTTGTACAGTAGGACTTGTGTAAGGGATTGTTCGGTAAGTGTCGCGGTCACTCGTGAATCATGGCAGAAAATAACAGTTTTGTGCAATTTGAGTTACAATCGTTAATGGAGTTTGTACTGTGTGGCGGGATGTATAGTTATTAGTGAGGTTGGTGTGGGTGTATTGTGGTAATAATTAACGGGTTGTTTAACAAAAAGCTTCAATAAAAAAATTTAATATAGGGTGAAATACAGAGGTTATCTATGAGTCACTAAATCACTACACATACACACACACACATCTCACCTGATGAACTCCTTTATTATGTCATAATTAGCTATACAACAGGTGAAGAGGAGAAGCAAGACGAAGAGAACGATGATGACGGTCGGAAAGACACCAGAGGAGGCGGTGGTGGCGACGCTGAAGATAGAAGAGGCGCCACAACCCGCCTTGTTACAGGCCTGCACCATCAATTGATAATTTGATGCTGATGATAGTCCCGCCAGCTGTAATGGGTACAGTAATATAAGGGATACAGGACATTACTTTTAAGGGGTATAGGACATTACTTTTAAAGGGTACAGGAAGTTACTTTTAAGGGGTACAGGACATTACTTTTAAGGGGTACGGGAAGTTACTTTTAAGGGGTACAGGACATTACTTTTAAGGGGTACAGGAAGTTACTTTTAAGGAGTACAGGAAGTTACTTTTCAGGGGTACAAGTCATTACTTGTAAGGGATACGGAAAGTTACTTTTAAGGGGTACGGGAAGTTAATTTTAAGGGGTACAAGACGTTACTTTTAAGGGGTACAGGACATTACTTTTAAGGGGTACAGGACATTACTTTTAAGGGGTACAGGAAGTTACTTTACAGGACATTACTTTTAAGGGGTACAGGAAGTTACTTTTAAGGGGTTCAGGACATTACTTTTAAGGGGTACAGGACATTACTTTTAAGGGGTGCAGGAAGTTACTTTTAAGGGGTACAGGACATAACTTTTAAGGGGTACATGACGTTACTTTTAAGGGGTACAGGGGTACAGGACACTTTAACTTTTAAGGGGTACATGACGTTACTTTTAAGGGGTACAGGAAGTAACTTTTAAGGGGTACAGGAAGTTACTTTTAAGGGGTACAAGACGTTACTTTTAAGGGGTACAGGAAGTTACTTTTAAGGGGTACAGGAAGTTACTTTTAAGGGGTACAGGAAGTTACTTTTAAGGGGTACAAGACGTTACTTTTAAGGGGTACAGGAAGTCAGTTGTAAGCATACATGTTGAATTAAATGCAAACTTATATTATATACTGATTATTTATCCATCCGTCCGTCCATCCATCCGTCCGTCCGTCCGTCCATCCATCCATCCATCCATCCATCTATATCATGACACACACACACACACACACACACACACACACACACACACACACACACACACACACACACACACACACCCACCCACACACACACACACACACACACACACACACACACACACACACACACACACACACACACACACACACACACACACACCACACACACACACACACACACACACACACACACACACACACACACACACACACACACACACGTACCTGACAATAGTGCGCTCCGTCCTTCACATTACACTCAAACCTCTTCTCTGTCTCTCCGTTATGCTTGATGACGTCAATAACGTACATCTCTATACCGTACTGATTCTGTTCATCCATCGACCACAGTAACTTGATGTGGTCAGAGAAGGTTTTAATTTCCACTGTCGGCGCCTTGGGTACTGTGATTTGTGCCATGGTTTCTCTCTGTGTGTAGTGAAGATGTTGGTAATAATGAGTTTGTTGGGGGTTATAGTGAAATGTCCATATAGCGGGTTTCTTCTTCGTGTAAGTCATTATATGGGGGTTTTACGTGATGATTAGGCTACCTGATCTCACGCTGACCTAACCAAACCTAACCTAACCTAAATTAATATAACCTAACCTAACCCAACCTAATCTAACATAACCTCACAACCTAACCTAACCTAACCTAACCTACCTTAACCTAACATACAGGTAACCTTAGGGTAATTAATCAACAGGTGAAATAAGCATGGAGACCTATTCATCAAATAAACCAGAAATATTTTTGTATAAACTACAAAAAAAAAACGGATCACCTGAAGAAACACCACCCCAGCTTATTTCACCTAAAGATTAAACCACCCTAAAACTATTTTGGGAGGATGAGGTTAGGTTAGGATATGTTAGGTTAGATTTAGGTTAGGATAGAACAGGTTTAGGTTAGGTTAAGTTAGCATTAAGGTAGTTAATCTTGAGGTGAAATAAGCTGGGGCGATGATTCTTCAGGTGATCCAAAAAAAACTAAAACTAAAGAAAAACTTATAATATCCCACACTTAAGAAAAAAATCCCACTACAGATGATAAAAATAAACAGTGACGTCGTTTTTTTACATGAGTTTTTTTTAAGCAGTGATCTACATTAAACATTTAGAATTACACAAGTTGACTGTTACGTGCGTGTGGGAGAAGGCTACTGTGGTCTGAGTATGTTTATCTAATTGGGATGTGACGTATTTCCACCTGTTGCTTGTATTGTACTGAGAGGTCTATCCATGTCTCGCCAGTAATGTTGTATCCATACTGTGCTATGTGGATGGAGGGGGAGTAGGAGGATGTAGAGAAGGAAGGGGAGGAGTAGGAGGATGTAGAGAAGGAAGGGGAGGAGTAGGAGGAAAAGAATTAAAAGGGAGAAGAGGAAGAAGACGGGGAGGAAGAGCAGAAGGAGTAGGAAGAGGAAGATAATTGAAGAGATAGAGGTAGAAGTAAAACACAAGGAGAAGAGAGGAAAGAAAGAGAAAAACAAGAAGCAAAATTATTTATTATCAACAGCGACGGATTGATTATTTTGGTACTAAATTTAAAGTCCAGCCCCCCCCCCCTCCTTCCCACCCCACTGACCTGATCTAACATAACCTTACTTAACTTTCCGCGACAAAAGTTTTCCAGATTTCTAACCTAACCCTAACCTAACTTAACCTATGATGTTATGTCTGAATGCTACAGAAAACCAAGACCAATTATATAAACCACTTTACATTTTATATATATATATATATATATTTATTTATTTATTTATTATATATATATATATATATATATATATATATATATATACATATATATATATATATATATATTTATTTATTTATTTATTTATTTTACCAATTCCTCTTATAACAATATTTAATGACATAACAACACTAATGAAGCTAAAATATCGATTAATTCATTTAAAAATACGATTTGCACCTGACTCCAGTTTTTATTATTATAACTACCTAATACAGTAAATGGTTTCACTTTGCCCTCTAAAATAATACCTGTGTGAAGTAATCAATTAACAAGACTCACAACAATGGTCAGTACTTTAAATCATCCTCACAGTATTGTCGTCAGCCGGGAACGTTGTTTATATTTCTCAAGTTTCATCTAGTGATCGAAAACTTCACAGCGATTTAGAATTAGTCACCATCATCACCGAACCCTTGTCAGCTAGAAGTTATTTATAATTTATACACGATGAATAATATGTTTAAACACTCTTATATTTAATGAAAACTCACCTCTAGTTATGTATCGTACTTGTGAGCGTTTAGAGTCCTCAATGATTTGCAAATTTCTTGATGTACTCTGTCGCTGATGTACCTCAGGGAAGCTAATACCAGTTTTACAATGGCATCACGGGGGAGTTTCACGTCTCTTATCGTACAGCCAAAACGTCTGCAGTAATATACCAGATTATAAGCTTCTCTGTTTCTGGAGTGTCACTTGCAGCAAATGATGAACACGTTTTTTGTATCCTGTCTTCTGCGCGACGCGGGGAAACCCAATACTGTATCTATCTAATCTTGTAACACTAGAACATTTGAGACATCCTTCGTTCGGGACCACAGGACCTATGAGGGTTTTGGTCACGTTGAAGGAGAGAATTGTATTATTTTTTCCCACAGCGACACCGCCATGGACAAATAAAGGATCATACTAGTATTGTGTGTGTAAGGCTTCTGTCTCACACTGTCTTCGTGAGAACTAAGTGGCCGCCGAACCCGAGTGGTGTTGTGGCACAGGACGTACATCCTGATGACGTATGGCTAACACAGTCCTGGTACTCTGGGTCTCGTCTCAAAGAAGGTGTCAATAACGTTACTAGTTGTGGCTGGTGTAGCGGTAATAAGCCTAAATAAACTATTTCATAAAACGATCAGGAAAGTTGTTACGTTGTACAGTATTCCTAAGAACCAGGGTTAGTCATTACCAGTGGCGGATTAACATAAGGCAGATAATGCTCCCTATCTAACCAAATTAACATAACCCAAGTAACCTGACCGAACTTAATCTAACTTAAACTTGATCCTCACCTTAACATATTATATGATTTTCACGTAATCTTCCTCACGACCCTTGGAAGAACACGTGTATAATTGCTGGTCTGCTGTTATCCAATCAATCAATATCAACAAAGTACAAAGTTAGTATAGTTATCCATTTAAAGAACTAGATTTTCTCTGAAGATTGTAATGAGAAAAAATATTGAGGGTAAACTCTGATAAATACTTACTTAAACTTGCGACACGAGTGCGAATGAGGACGAGAGTGATAGGAAGAATAAACGAAAGAGTAAGAGATAAAAAGTGAAAGAAAGAGAATGGGGATGAACAAAAAAGCCAATTTTGTTATTTTTACAGAGATGTGACTCTTTTATAAGTGAATAAATGCAAAGTTATATATTTTTTCCTGATAATTTCAAGGTTTACAAACAAAGAAGAAGAAATTTTCAAATCAGTTTCCTTTTACTGTGTTGTGTGTGTGGGGGGGGGGGGGCATTGCCTATAATGTTGCCATGAGGAAGCACTGCACGCAGGAATGGTAACTACTCCTGTCGTTGCGAGCATCCCTGCCAGCAAGTAATCCTTCCCTCGCACTCAGCTTGTGGGATTAAGAAGATTTAAGAATACCAACAGGACTCAAGAGGAACTAAGAGTACCACCAACAGGACTCAAGGGGAACTGAGAGTACCAACACTAGTTTTAAGAGTTGAGAGTACTAATACCAACAGGACTCAAGATGAGCTGAGAGTACTACCACCAGTTTTAAGAGGAACCTAGAGTACTACCACCAATAGGACTCAAGAGAAGCTGAGAGTACCATCACCAGTTTTAAGAGAAGTTGAGAGTACTAATACCAACAGGACTCAAGATGAGCTGAGAGTACTACCACCAGTTTTAAGAGGAACCTAGAGTACTACCCCTAACAGGACTCCTTCGTATTATTATTATTTTCTTTTTTTTTAGTAATGCCGATTTTCCAATATTTAATATAACAATTTGGTCATGGATGGATTTCCATTCGAGTGAGAAATTTCCCCAATCAATACAATACTGTATAATTGTATATACCCTGAATATGACCAATTGTCTCCTTAACTGCGCTTAAAGTTATTAAAAGGTAGAAATTATTTATGCTCACAGTAAATAAAAGTAAAATTTATGCTCACAGTAGATAAAAGTACAATTGAAAAAAGATATCAGGGGAGTATTTGCACTAGTACTGGCGCCGCACCCAAGGTTAGCTGTGCTGCAGGCTCCCGCGCACCGTCCGCCCGGCAACTACAGGAATATCTCTACCCCCAAAAAATAGATCTTGGTCGAGTACAAAGACATCCCTGGTACTGGTAGTCGCTGGCTATCAGAGCAGGTGCGACGCTTGCTAAAATACAGAAACACAAAACTACTAAAATATATAACTCCGGGTGCAGGTAGGAGAGAGGGGTCGGGGGATAGGGGGAAGGTAGGAGGAGGGGGAGCGACCGGTTGATTATTTTTGGCCCGCGCGCACTTTGGTATTCCTTGGTCACTGGTGCCAAGGTAAAGGTTTGTTTAAAACATTTACACTCGCTCTCCAAATTGTCCTCTTTGAATTTAGACATAATGTAATTTAAACACCATTCACATTGACCTCATGCACAATGGTATTGAGACAATAGGTCGGTCCACCATCCTCAACTTTACAACATCGGCTGACGATAAAAATTACTGTGTTGTTGAGTCCAGGTTAGCAGCAGCAGCGTCTTAGTTCCCTGTGTCGGAAATTTGGTTCATGGTCTGTAAGTTCCCTCAATGTTATTTTTCTCCCTAGACGAGGTCAGGTTATGTTTGCTGGTGCTTTCCCCGGAGAGAACATTATACGATCGCTGCAAAACTTGGCACACAGGACTACATTTTTCAGTTTCTCTTGCCCATCCAAGGCTCTTCTTGAACGCCGCAGTTCTTTTTGATGCTGATGATTAAATTACACAGAAAAATACTTGTAGTTAAAATTATGCACAATATACCGTGGTTAAGATGTAGTACGTGAAGAATATGATGATAATAGATGTAGTACGTGAAGAATAAGATGATAATAGATGTAGTACGTGAAGAATATGATGATAATATGTCCTTAACCCAGTTTGTAGTATTTTATTTGGTTCCTGCCAGACGATTTTATTCAACACGGAGGGGATCCCGTACACAAGGAGTTAATAGTGTATCAAAATTAGTTAAGACATGATGCTATCAGTTTAGAGTCTGCCTCACTACACGAAGAGGCTTGAATATTCGATGCTATCATTTTATGCTTAGTTTATTTTCAGTGGAGGTGCAAATAGGGTTACTGAAAACTGTAGGTGGTCCTCTCCTCTCTCTTCCCTCTTCCCCCCTCTCCCCTTTCACTTCCCTCCCCCCTCCCATCCCCTTGTTACTGGAAGAAGCAAAGTGACTTGGGTGACATTTAAGGTGTTCAGGTATGCCAAGCTGAGTGACTCAACACTGAATAGCAAAAATGGCAACATTGTTAAGTGATGTGACAGGTATATAATAATAATAATAATAATAATAATAATAATAATAATAATAATAATAATAATAATAATAATAATAATAATAACACGAAAGGAAATCCAAGGGTCATCATTTATAGACCAGAATTTATATACGATGCTTAAAGTACAATAAATGTCTCTCACTTTTATCACCCTGACACTGTATGACAGCGCTGATGGCGTACTGTGATGTACATACTAAAGGGTGTTGTTATAAAGAGGTTTAGATTAGTCATGGTGAAACTGTAAACCTCTTTAGTGACACCTGACAGAGGACTTCATGTCAGGTTAGGTGATATGAGCGTGTGATTTATGGTACGTATAACAGTACTGTCACCTGCACTTATACCTGGTACAGTGGGTGATGCGTTTTGTGAGATATGGCACCTGTGTGTATGTTTACATCGTATTAAAACTCCTGGAATGGCAACTAAGGAACCTTAAAATAGTAGCCTGACTAAGGATGCTAGATGAGCATTCCACAGATCTGCCACATTTCATAAAACGCGCCATCCACTGTACCAGGTATAAATGCAAGCGACTGAACATGTATAGATAAGAAGTCTAACGTGGGAACAGAATTTAAATAGTAATCCATATTGATGTATTTGTTTTGGGCTAACATCATTTTGTCACCAACCTATGACACACACACACACACACACACACACACACACACACACACACACACACACACACACACACATCCTTGACCACCGAAGGGTCAAGACGTACCTGGCGCTCCTCTCGGAGCAGCCAGGTCAACTGTTATGTTGGCCCATACCAACTCCCTCCCCTGAACCCTCCTCCCCACCGGAATATCAACAAGTTCACGCCAGAAGTTACTATTTCATTTAGGAAAGAAATGGAACCAGTGTTAAACAGAGGTGAACAGTGGTGAACAGTGCTTAAGTCAGTGAGAACAACTCAACAGTAACAGTGGTACCCAAGTTGACCTTTCACACAGTGAGGTCCCAGGTACCCAGTGATAACGGCCCGTGAGACCCAACTACCAGCGATGTGTTAATCCGTCTACGATAGGAAGGCCTGGAACCACACCTCACTCATATAACACCATCTGTGAGGGAATTACTACACCACGTGAGGCCCCTCATAACACCATATGTGAAGGAGTTACTACACCACGTGAGGCCCCTCATAACACCATCTGTGAGGGAATTACTACACCACGTGAGGCCCCTCATAACACCATCTGTGAGGGAATTACTACACCACGTGAGGCCCCTCATAACACCATCTGTGAGGGAATTACTACACCACGTGAGGCCCCTCATAACACCATCTGTGAGGGAATTACTACACCACGTGAGGCCTCATAACACCATCTGTGAGAATTACACCACGTGAGGCCCTCATAACACCATCTGTGAGGGAATTACTACACCACGTGAGGCCCCTCATCATCACTACATTGTGAGGGAACTATTACACCACGTGAGGTCCCTCCTAACACCATCTGGGAGGGAGTTACTACACTACGTGTTTGCTGTTCAACACCTACATTAATCTGTATGTTCACTTTGTTCACCTTTCTCTAATGAAGGCTTTTGTTAAACCACCAATGTATGTAATAAGTCATTTATCAATGTATATTTTCAGCCTTCGGGCTGCAGAACTTTTTCAATAAACCGTTAATTATTATTATTATTATTATTATTACAATCTCCTCCCCAAGTTTCCGCTAGGGTCACGGTGATCCAGGGTGAACTGTGGCGTGATTTCCGGCGCACGTAGTTAGAATAGAGCGGCGACACATCTCTGTTTGGAGTCTTGCCATTTGTAAAAGAAATGGCCGTCAGCCCCGCCAAAGTGTTGCAGCTGGTAGACTGTGTTGGGTTAGCTGACAAAGGGTTGTTGTTAGCTCACAGAGAAATGTTGTAAGCTCATAAATGGTCACCGTTAGCTCACAAATTTTTACTGTTAGCTCACATACGATTGTTGTTACCATACAGTGTTTCCTCGACGTAGAATAAACAAACGCTGTAAAATCAATCTGACCTAACCTACCTTAACCCCATCTAACCTAACCTACCTTAACCCCACCTAACCTAACCTACCTTAACCCCACCTAACCTAACCTACCTTAACCCCATCTAACCTAATACCTTAACCCCATCTAACCTAACCTACCTTTAACCCATCTAACCTAACCTACCTTAACC